GTTACTGAGGGACACAGAACTGTTACTCAGGGACACAGAACTGTTACTCAGGGACACAGAATTGTTACTCAGGGACAGACACAGAATTGTTACTGAGGGACACAGAATTGTTACTGAGGGACACAGAATTGTTACTGAGGGACACAGAATTGTTACTCAGGGACAGACACAGAATTGTTACTGAGGGACACAGAACTGTTACTCAGGGACACAGAACTGTTACTCAGGGACACAGAACTGTTACTCAGGGACACAGAATTCGTTACTCAGGGACACAGAATTGTTACTCAGGGACAGACACAGAATTGTTACTCAGGGACACAGAATTGTTACTCAGGGACACAGAACTGTTTACTCAGGGGGACACAGAACTGTTACTCAGGGACACAGAATTGTTACTCAGGGACAGACACAGAATTGTTACTGAGGGACACAGAATTGTTACTGAGGGACACAGAATTGTTACTGAGGGGGACACAGAATTGTTACTCAGGGACAGACACAGAATTGTTACTGAGGGACACAGAACTGTTACTCAGGGACACAGAACTGTTACTCAGGGACACAGACACAGAATCGTTACTCAGGGACACAGAATTGTTACTCAGGGACAGACACAGAATTGTTACTGAGGGACACAGAATTGTTACTGAGGGACACAGAATTGTTACTCAGGGACAGACATAGAATTGTTACTGAGGGACACAGAACTGTTACTCAGGGACACAGAACTGTTACTCAGGGACACAGAACTGTTACTCAGGGACACAGAACTGTTACTCAGGGACAGACACAGAATTGTTACTGAGGGACACAGAATTGTTACTGAGGGACACAGAATTGTTACTGAGGGACACAGAATTGTTACTCAGGGACAGACACAGAATTGTTACTGAGGGACACAGAACTGTTACTCAGGGACACAGAACTGTTACTCAGGGACACAGAATGTTACTCAGGGACACAGAATTGTTACTCAGGGACACAGAATTGTTACTCAGGGACACAGAACTGTTACTCAGGGACACAGAATTGTTACTCAGGGACACAGAATTGTTACTGAGGGACACAGAATTGTTACTCAGGGACAGACACAGAATTGTTACTGAGGGACACAGAATTGTTACTCAGGGACACAGAATTGTTACTCAGGGACACAGAACTGTTACTCAGGGACACAGAATTGTTACTCAGGGACACAGAACTGTTACTCAGGGACACAGAACTGTTACTCAGGGACAGACACAGAATTGTTACTGAGGGACACAGAATTGTTACTCAGGGACAGACACAGAATTGTTACTGAGGGACACAGAACTGTTACTCAGGGACACAGAATTGTTACTCAGGGATACAGAACTGTTACTCAGGGACAGATACAGAATTGTTACTGAGGGACGCAGAATTGTTACTGAGGGACACAGAATTGTTACTGAGGGACACAGAATTGTTACTCAGGGACACAGAACTGTTACTCAGGACACAGAACTGTTACTCAGGGACAGACACAGAATTGTTACTGAGGGACACAGAATTGTTACTGAGGGACACAGAATTGTTACTGAGGGACACAGAACTGTTACTCAGGGACACAGAACTGTTACTCAGGGACACAGAACTGTGTTACTCAGGGACAGACACAGAATTGTTACTGAGGGACACAGAATTGTTACTGAGGGACACAGAATTGTTACTCAGGGACAGACACAGAATTGTTACTGAGGGACACAGAACTGTTACTCAGGGACACAGAACTGTTACTCAGGGACACAGAATTGTTACTGAGGGACACAGAATTGTTACTGAGGGACACAGAATTGTTACTCAGGGACTGACACAGAATTGTTACTGAGGGACACAGAATTGTTACTGAGGGACACAGAATTGTTACTGAGGGACACAGAATTGTTACTGAGGGACACAGAATCGTTACTCAGGGACACAGAATCGTTATTTAAGGGGTATGTCAGACAACACGCAGAGGAGTGGCTGAGGAGGCAATGTTTTTACTGAGGACAGACGTGGCAGCAGAGGAAGGGGTCGAGGGCAGCACACAGGCCAGTGCTCCCGGTGTTCCAGCGGGGTCTCCACCGTCAACCCTGCCATCATCACAGAATTGTTACTCTTCCCAGGTCACCTCTGACACCTACAGCCAACGGTCGGTGTGTACGTCAGGGACACAACCGTTTGTTACATGAGAGCAAGCCCACAGAATTGTGTCCTTACTGCCCATGTCCTTTGGTGTTCCCTCACCAAGCGAAGTATCACATGCTGTGGGCTCAACTGTTGTACAGTGAGGAAGAGCTCAGGCATTCAGGAACGGGGGGACACAGACCTCTTCAGCAGTTACAGGGAAGGTACTCAGGGCACAGGAGAGTGTCGGTACTCAGGGTCTGTCTCACTGACCAGGCCGAGGGGGCTGTTAGTGAGGGAGACACAGAATTGATGTTACTGAGGCTGATTGGAACGAAGCCTCGTCATCAGGCTATTTGCTTCACGCATCATAGGGTGCCAGGCTTGCAGGGACACAGTCGAATGGGTTGCCCAGGACAGGCTAGCTGGGTCGCAGAATTGTCAGTGAGGCAAAAACGGCCACGGAAGTAGGACAGTTCCACTAACTAGGGTACACAGAACTGTTACACGGTTTGAAGTATGCAGAATGCCTTGTTGAGGAGACACAGCAAAGTGTTTACTTGAGCGGGCACAGCAATTGAAAACAGAGTCAGGGCAGAAGCCTTGTTACTCAAAAAATGACAGACACAGAATTGTTACTGAAGGGGACCAGAATTGTTACTAAAGGGACACATAGATGCAGAATTGTTACTCAGGACGAGAATAAGTTTGGAGACACAGAAGTTGTTAGAGGTAGGGGTTCTGAGGAGGCCGTAACTTTTAATCAGAGGAAGCTGTTACTGACGTCAAGAATTGACACAGAATTGTTACTGAGGGGAGTCACAGAATTGTTCAAGGTTCTGCAGGGAAATTACGTCATGTTAAACGCAGTATCTGTTAACTTAGGGACTCTATGGTGGCATCTTCAAGGTAGAATCTTCCGTTCTGCAAATAGACACAGAATTGTTGTAAGAGAGGGCACAGCAGGAACTGTCAGTAAGCGAAGGTTACTGAGGGGACACAGAATAGCTAAAAGTAATGTTACTGAGGAGACACAGAAATTGTTCAAATAGTTAAATGTCCTAGACACAGCCATGTTTTGTTTAGAATAAAGCAGTACAGGCAAGAAAGTTAGTCTATTAGAAAATTGAGTGGTTTGGGACAGTAAGTTTAGGCTCCAGTAATTAGTACAATGCTTGAAGTTGTTAAGAGTAGAGAGAAAGTGCCCCAGTAAAAGTTAGAGGAAAAGGCAGAAAGCACAGAATAGTTAGTGTGGAGTCAGGGTCCAGCAAGCATTTTAGTCAGATGTTCTTCAGATTGTAGAGTTAACATTAGGGAAAGAGTAGCAGTTCCCACAGCATATCACAGGAAGGGGTGATGTCCAGCAGGTAGATTCGCACAGTGTCTTGCTGCCAAACAGTGCTCTCATGTACAAGATTGTTTACTGAGGTATGTCATTTGTAGTTACTCGGTCGTCTTGGTTCTTCTGTTAGCGTGCATTGTCCTGCTCATCGCCACCCTGCCATGAGCCACGGTCTCCTCATCTGGTGTGGGTCAATTGTCATAGGTGATACTTTTACACGGGTCCCGTTACATCTTAGAAATTAGTGCATGGATGCACCAGGTTCAGTTGAGTGTTAATGGAAAAGATACACGTGTACCCTAGAACCTGTAGTTAAGAAAGTAGATGTTTAGCTTTAAGTCCTAGCTTAGGTGGTGTTCCGTAAGTACGCAGTAAGTGCCAGACGGGATTAGTTATGCAGGCATTGTCCCGCCCCAGCCAGCCCCCCTTCAGTGTTACAGTGAGGAAGAGTTCAAATAGCAGAGGGCGGTAAGTGAGGTCATTAAAACAATTGGGCCTACTTTCCATCACGTTCCCCACATCAATACGCCTCTTCAGCAGCCAGATGTAGGCCACGTGGTCCCCTGCTGATAAGTAGTTCTTTGTCATAGGGCCCAGGGGAGTAAGTACATTGGCTCAGTATGAAGTATTTCCAGGGTAGACGCTGCTGAAAGAGTTAAAAGAGTAGTAGTATCTTTTAGGGTAAAGCGTAGCTGGACACGAGTAGAGACAGTCCTGATGCAGCAGAAGCCAGGCGAAGTCCCTGTACTTTTGATTGGAAAGCCTCATTGGCTCGGTTAGCCTGACCTACACTGGCTAATCTACCGCCATTTGTCATGACCCCGCTGCCATCATTTTTGGTCTATCACATTGCTGGGAATTATCCATTTTCTAGTAGTCTGCGGAGACCCTAATTGATGATGAGGAGGCTCCATCGCAGCACACTCTGCCATGATTCGCACTTGTCTTCCTCACATTGCTGAGTGGGTTCCATTTTTTTCGTAGGGTGCAGGCTATTGCTTCCCAGCGCATCATCAGGAGAAGAGGGTGCCAGCTTGGCAGGAGCAAAACAGTGGGTGGGTTGCCAGGAGGCAGCAGGGTCGCTGCAGCAGTGTCAGTGCAGGCAAACGGCCATAAGGGTCCAAGTACAGCAGTGCCCCGTGCAAGCTCCACTGTACAGCCTAACACTGCACCACGGCCAGTAGTGGTGCCGGAGTGCACGGAGGAAGTAGCAGTCAGCCAGTGAGGAAGTAGCGGGGGCAAAGTTTCCTACTCGGCGGTGTGGCAATTTTTTTTCAAGTCGCCCGAGGAAGTAAACGTAGCCGTATGTCGACTATGTGGCCAGAAAGTCAAGCTGGTGGCCACGGGGGGCCCATGTTGGGACTACAGCGTTGCGTCAGCATATGCAGTGTCGCCATTTGGTGGCCTGGGAAAACCGTGATAAAGATACGGCGGTTCTGCCTGCCCCAGCCCAGGGTTCCATTTTGTCATAGGGTGCTGGCAGATTACGGGCCTCCCATTGCTGCTGCCAGGCCCGTAATCTGCCATGGGCCCCGTACCGCCTCTCATGCTGCTGCCAGGCCCGTAATCTGTCATGGGCCCCTGTACCGCCTCCTCATGCTGCTGCCAGGTCCACAGTGTGTCATGGGTCCCTGTACGGCCTCCCATTGCTGCTGTCTCCATCGCCACACTCTGCCATATGCCACTTTCAGGTCTCCTCACTCTGCTGGTGGGTTCCATTTTGTCATAGGGTGCTGTACAGCCTCCCATTGCTGCTGCCAGGCCCGTAATCTGCCATGGGCCCCCGTACCGACTCCTCATGCTGCTGCCAGGCCCGTAATCTGTCATGGGCCCCTGTACCGCCTCCTCATGCTGCTGCCAGGTCCAGAGTGTGTCATGGGCCCCCGTGCCGACTCCTCATGCTGCTGCCAGGCCCGTAATCTGTCATGGGCCCCTGTACCGCCTCCTCATGCTTCTGCCAGGTCCAGAGTGTGTCATGGGTCCCTGTACGGCCTCCCATTGCTGCTGCCAGGCCCGTAATCTGCCATGGGCCCCCGTACCGACTCCTCATGCTGCTGCCAGGCCCGTAATCTGTCATGAGCCCCTGTACCGCCTCCTCATGCTGCTGCCAGGTCCAGAGTGTGTCATGGGCCCCCGTACCGATTCCTCATGCTGCTGCCAGGCCCGTAATCTGTCATGGGCCCCTGTACCGCCTCCTCATGCTGCTGCCAGGTCCAGAGTGTGTCATGGGTCCCTGTACGGCCTCCCATTGCTGCTGCCAGGCCCGTAATCTGCCATGGGCCCCTGTACCGCCTCCTCATGCTGCTGCCAGGTCCAGAGTGTGTCATGGGTCCCTGTACGGCCTCCCATTGCTGCTGCCAGGCCCGTAATCTGCCATGGGGCCCCCGTACCGACTCCTCATGCTGCTGCCAGGCCCGTAATCTGTCATGGGCCCCTTTACCGCCTCCTCATGCTGCTGCCAGGTCCAGAGTGTGTCATGGGCCCCCGTACCGGACTCCTCATGCTGCTACCAGGCCCGTAATCTGTCATGGGCCCCTGTACCACCTCCTCATGCTGCTGCCAGGTCCAGAGTGTGTCATGGGTCCCTGTACGGCCTCCCATTGCTGCTGCCAGGCCCGTAATCTGCCATGGGCCCCCGTACCGACTCCTCATGCTGCTGCCAGGCCCGTAATCTGTCATGGGCCCCTGTACCGCCTCCTCATGCTGCTGCCAGGTCCAGAGTGTGTCATGGGTCCCTGTACGGCCTCCCATTGCTGCTGTCTCCATCGCCACACTCTGCCATGTGCCACTTTCAGGTTTCCTCACACTGCTGGTGGGTTCCATTTTGTCATAGGGTGCTGTATGGCCTCCCATTGCTGCTGCCTCCACCGCCACACTGTGGCTCCACACTCTGGTTTTGGCCCCGTGACTGCCCAAATGAGTGAAGTGTGCGGTGATTCTAAGATCGACGGCACTCATCTGCATGTCATACTGACTGACAGTATTATTTCTCTTCCCCAGCAGTAAAGGTACAGTGTTCTGCACTAATATAAAGGCTCTCTGAAGCCTAGAAACACCCTTATATAAGTTAAATTCGCAGCGATATATATTCGACTCGAATCGAATTTTTTCCACGAATTCGCCAAATCAGTCGAATCGAATTTTTGAATAATTCGCTCATCTCTAATCATGAACATGATCTCAATTCTTTACCTCATTCATCTTTTTGTACATAGCCAGATAACCTTCATTTGTATTTTGCGGCTTGGTAGCTCTAGCAATGCAATATAATGAGCATTTAAAACATAGATATAAAGATAAAACAAAAAACAATATCATGACTATGCTTACAGCGATACCTTTCATCCATGAAAAGACGGAACCAAATCCTGATCCTAGCCAATCAAAAGGACTCCATCCATCTCTTCCTATAGCTCTAGCTTCTTCCATTAAACCATCTACCTGTTCCCTGTGTTGCTTTATTATTTCATAATAATCTGGAACAGTCATTGTGGTATTATATATCCAAGTACAACATTCATAATCCTCTGTCATTTCACACAAACCTGTCAGAGCAGCACTCATACTTTCAATAGCTAATTCTTGCATCTCCAGCTGTTTTCTAATAGCTCTGGTCTTGGTATTTAATAACCTCTATGTCCTTAGAGTTCCTCTCCAGTATATCATCAATAATGTTTGTGTAATTTATTTATTTTGTTCATAAGTGTTATTCCCCATCCCATGTAGGTAGGGAACCATGACCAAACCTTATCACCTGTAGAGAATAGATCTGCATTTTCTTGTTTGGTTTCCCTTCTCTGTCTCAGAGTTAGTTGGTGTTTTGGGTATGTACTGGCTTTTACCTGGTGTTCCTTTTGGTCTATAGCTGCCATGATTGGCACTAATTGGGCTACATAGCACCAGCCCTGGACATTACTCGGTATCCAAGGGTAACAGATCTTACCCACAACAGATATAGGTATTGTTTCCCAAGGAAATGGCAATTTTTGTATTGCAGAATGAAATTCAGGGGTGACAACAAGTGTAAAATAAAAAAAGAAGTTTTCCAAACATAGTTTTCCCCACATTATCTTGTATCCCTTCTAAACTTTCATTCAGGGTTTTACCATTTACTTGCCAGAGTTTCACAGAAGAAGTTCCATCCCTCCTTCCAGGATCAGATATGTTTAATATGGACTGAGAGCACATTCCCTTTCCCTTGTGGGAAGTATTCCCCAGTCTAAAACACCAATCGGGGAGTTGAGTGACTCCCAGAGTTGGAAAAGATATGGTGGCATTAGAAGTAATATTGGTCAAACCAATACTTACATTCCCTGTTATTAACAAAAATATTTTGACTGGAGCGGCCAGAAGAGGAATTTCATATGTGCTAGGATGTAACTTACTACATATCCAACATTTATCATAACCTGACTTTTGAGCATAAGCATATTTAAACTGCATCATCAACATTTTTCCTGAAAAAGAATTGTTCTCTTCAAAACTTCTTTTTGACTTTCTTTCACTTTTGGTTATCTGGGTCTCATTTAAATCTAGTCCTTGACCACAGATACCTTTTATTAGGCCCAAGTCCTCAGGGGGATAAATACAGTTAGTTAGGATCCATTTGCATATACAAAGTCTGCTTCGCTATGTAGCCCAATGTAGAAATTAATCAATAAAAAAATAAAAAGCTGCTAACATCTGATCCAATACCTGTAGATCTGATAAAGTATAAAAAGCAAAAAGTGATGTAGCGCTAAAACAAGAAAATGTCACATTAAGCCCATAATCAATATAACATAATGACCAATCATTAATATGTAAGAAGGGCGAAATAGTGCGTGATGGAACTAGATGAATAAAAATAGAAATAAAACACATGTGAGACCCTGCACACAGTGCACATATGAGAAAAAAGTCCAGTGATCCGTATCACATTTCTCCTCCACTCATGCAGAATCAATGGACTGTGTGTGGACCCGCACACCCCGAAGTGCAATCCAAAACCGGCTGAAATGGCCTCTCACCTCCTATCTGCGACCCTGCAGGGCCACAGAGCTTGAAAAATCACCACTGGATCAGGATAAACTTCCTCTTGGGTGAATGGCTTCATGATATATCCCCAATATACTGATTCCACCTCTCCTGTAATATCCTCAAAGGTCAAATGAGCAGGGTGGATCCCAACTCAAATCCCAATAGGACAAAAGAAGACATCCTCCATAGTGTAAAACCGCTTTAATTTTATTAAAACTGGATACTTGTGCACACTTACATCAGCAAGATGAGATAACAGCTAGTACCCATACCATGGGTGTAAGCGTGTGGCTGAAGGGTGTTCCCAAGATGGCGCCGCGCCGGAAGTGCGTCACCACGTATTGCCGTCGACGCGTTGTGTCACGTGACCTCGTGACTTCCTCAGGACTTCCTCAGTCCTGAGGAAGTCACGAGGTCACGTGACGCAACACGTCGATGGCAATACATGGTGACACACTTCCGGCGCGGCGCCATCTTGGAACACCCTTCAGCCACACGCTTACACCCATGGTATGTGTACTAGCTGTTATCTCATCTTGCTGATGTAAGTGTGCACAAGTATCCAGTTTTAATACAATTAAAGCGTTTTTACACTATGGAGGATGTCTTCTTCTTCTTTTGTCCTATTGGGATTTGAGTTGGGATCCACCCTGCTCATTTGACCTTTGAGGATATTACAGGAGAGGTGGAATCAGTATATTGGGGATATATCATGAAGCCATTCACCCAAGAGGAAGTTTATCCTGATCCAGTGGTGATTTTTCAAGCTCTGTGGCCCTGCAGGGTCGCAGATAGGAGGTGAGAGGCCATTTCAGCCGGTTTTGGATTGCACTTCGAGTGGGTGTGCGGGTCCACACACAGTCCATTGATTCTGCATGAGTGGAGGGAATGTGATACGGATCACTGGACTTTTTTCTGATATGTGCACTGTGTGCAGGGGTCTCACATGTGTTTTATTTCTATTTCTATTCATCTAGTTCCATCACGCACTATTTCGCCCTTCTTACATGTTAATGATTGTGTCATTATGTTATATTGATTATGGGCTTAATGTACTTTTTTTGTTTTAGTGCTACATCACTTTTTGCTAGTTAGGATCCATACTGGCAGGAAAAAGAGCACAGTCAGTGTGCCCAATAGGACCCAGATCTTCAAAGCACCATGAGGGACAGTAAAAAATGTCATCTTCAGGGTCTCACTTTCACTTACTTCACCCGCTCTTCGAGGATTTTCCTCTCATACTTCACCTCCTTTTTCCATCTCATGTTTCTTCAGATGTTTGGTTCACCTTCTTCACTCGACTAGCATGGATCCAAGACTGGGAATTCTCTACCAGAACAGCCGTTCAGGTAACCTCTATCACCGTAGTAGGTGGTCCAAAGGAGTAGCCTTGCTTCTTGTCTTTAGCGAGTTGGCGGACCACTACGACATCTCCCACTTGGAAAAGGGTGTGTTGGTTCCTGAAAAGATAAAGAAAAGTGCGAGCAACATTTCTTTCAACCTTATCTAAAGTTTGAATCAATTTTCTCACATATTCTTGGTATACCAGGTCAAGGTCCCCTCTTTCTAACAAGTGGCTATCTAGCCCAAGGAGTAGGGAACGGTCTTCCCATTAATATTTCAAAAGGAGATAACCCTGTAGTCTTATTAGGTGTCATTCTTACCTCTGCTAGAATTGCAGGTAACATCTTCTTCCAGTGGGTATAGGTTCCTCCAGTGGCCTTCCTCAACTTATCCTTAATTGTTCTGTTCATCCTTTCTACTATACCCGAACTTTGAGGATGATAGGGAATATGAATTTTTCCAATCTATCTTAAGTACTTTTACCAAGTCTTGGCATACCTTGGCCACAAAAGCTGGTCCTTTATCAGAATTTATCTGCAGTGGACATCCCCATCTGGGTATTATCTCCTGTGTAAGAATTCTGACTACAGTCTGCGCGTCTTCTTTATTAGTGACAAATGCTTCCACATCATCTGCTAAACATATCCACCATTACCAACAAAAACTCTTGCCTCTGTCCTGTTTTTGGCATGTGGGT